CGATCTCCCCTTCCAGATCCGCCGGCCTTCCGATCAACACCGACCGATCTCCGCTGGAACTCTTCCCGCCGGGTTTTTCTCCACCGTTCCGTCGTTCTCCAGGCTCCGCAAAGCTTCAGTCTCCTTCGAAGTCGAGAAACCGAATTCCGAATTCCGAACAGACGACACCAAGCGCTCACTGGGTCCTTGTGAGGTAATATTCGATCCGCTCAAACCCGTAAAGAGGAAACCTCCAAATCTGATTGCAGATTCTACAGCTTCATCTTCAGCTCCGGCGAAGGCTCCGGAATTTTGTCGCGCTGATAAGGGTAATTTCGTCAGATCGAACATAATTGGCAAGCGGAAGCCTCCTAATTTGATCACGGATACTGCAGCTTCACCTCCGGTGAAGGCTCCAGAGTTCCGTTGCAGCGATGAGGGTAATTTTGTCAAGTTGAACCTTAATGGCAGGAAGAGGAAGAAGTTCTCTAGCAAATGTAAGAGCGCGTCGAAATTTAGAAGCAAGTACACGTACAGGAAGACGAGATATAGGAAGTCAGAAGCCAATGGTGAAGATGGCCCGTCAGTGGAAGAAGTTGCTTTGGAATCACGGAAACAAATGGAAGAAGAAGCAAGCGGATTTATTGACTCGGCGGAGGAAGCAGTTCTTGCAGTGAGGAACGAGGCTTCTGATGAGAATCTGAAGAGGCTGTTGAATGTAGTGTATGGCTATGATTCTTTTCGATATGGGCAATTGGAGGCAATCAAGATGGTTCTTTCAGGGAGTTCGGCAATGCTGGTCTTGCCCACCGGTGCAGGGAAATCTCTCTGCTACCAGATTCCAGCGATGATTCTTCAGGGAATCACACTGGTTGTAAGTCCGTTGGTATCGCTGATGATTGATCAGTTGAAGCATTTGCCTCCTGTGGTCAAAGGTGGTCTTTTGAGCAGTAGTCAGGTGATTATTTACACGCTTTCAGAGTTTTCTGCTATTCATATTCTTGTCAAAGTTTATGTGCTTTGCTAATTTTATCTTTATCTGGTTAGAGACCTGAAGAAACAGCGGAAACTTTGCGCAGACTTAAGGAGGGGACGATAAAGGTGCTCTTTGTTTCTCCAGAAAGATTTCTGAATGCAGAGTTTTTGTCTATGTTCCGCATGAGCTTATCTGTGGCACTTGTTGTTGTGGATGAGGCGCATTGCATTTCGGAGTGGTAAGCTGCTCGCGTCTGCCAGATTGCTTTTCTCTGTTTCGGTAGCTTCTAGTGCATTTGATTCTTTGGTTTTGTCTTGATAATCACTGTTCTAAACAGGTCTCATAACTTCCGCCCTTCGTACATGAGACTCAAGGCATCGTTACTCCATTCTGAGCTCAATGCACAATGTATTCTCGCAATGACTGCAACCGCCACAACTAAGACCCTGCAGGCTATGATGTCTATGCTGGAGATTCCATCGACTAATCTCATTCAGAAATTGCAAGTGAGGGAAAATCTCCAATTGTCCGTGTCTCTGAGTGGGGCTAACAGGCAAGTTGTTGAATTTATTTCGTTTTACTGTTCTTTGGCACCTCTATTGGTTGTAACTGAGTGAAGAATGGAGTCTAACAGAATGAAAGAGCTACTGCTTATGACAAAGTCTCCTCCTTTTAGTGAAGTTAAAAGCATCATCGTTTATTGCAAATTTCAGGTGAGTATTTACTTAATTTGTTGGAATTTCTTAACCTCTCCAAATTTCAGATTTACGAAATGTTATGAAAGCTTTTATTTCCTTTCCTTTCCATTTTATCACTGGATTAACTCTGGTATTGCTGTGTTTGCTGCAGCATGAGTGTGACACTATAAGCAAATATTTACGTGATAACAACATAACTGCAAAGGTTGGAGCTGTTTCAACTTCCTTATATAGCCATATCAATGCTTAACTACACTCAAACTGAGATTATATCATTTGATATTCCAGAGTTACCACAGTGGACTCCTAGCAAAAGAGCGTAATCGAATACAGGAGCTATTTTGTTCCAACAAGATTAGAGTGGTAAGAAATTCAGTTTACTGACTGCTTGATGCTTTTTCTCTAAGTTTGACATGTAAACTATAGAGACAAGAAGATGACGGTGTTTGAATCTTCTCCTATAAAATGTTACACTGGAAGGTTGTTGCAACTGTGGCATTTGGCATGGGACTTGACAAGAGAGATGTTGGAGCTGTAAGTTGGTTTGCTTGAACTTATCTGCAGTTATTTGATCATGTGAGATATGATACTAGAGTTGCTGATTATGTTTTTAGGTAATCCATTACAGTGTGCCAGGTAGTTTGGAAGAGTATGTTCAGGTTTGAATTTTCTCTTACCAGAAAACACTTTTCTAAGCTTAATATCCAAGATGTGAGGTTCTTTTAAAAATGAATGTGTTTATTACAGGAAATCGGGCGTGCAGGCCGCGATGGACGATTGTCTTATTGCCATCTGATTTACGATGATGATACCTACCTAAAGCTTCGGAGTCTTGCACACAGGTGAACTGATATCGACACTATAAGTTGCCTAGACACGGAAAGGATTTCGACTTATTTTGTCTTTTGTTTTTCCTCTCCTATTCCAGTGACGGAGTAGATGAATATGCTGTAGGCAAATTTCTCACCCACTTGCTATCTCATCAGACCAAGCAAAATGAGAAGCTATGGTCACTAGTAGTGGAGTCTGCCTCTCATAAATTTGACATGAAGGAAGAGGTTCTTCCCTTTTGACTTATTGCTACAAAATAGAAAGATAACAGATGATTACATGATTTTTACTACTTATGATCAGAATCCATTTGTATGTTTGCCTTATGTGATCAGATTTCTGATCTTGTGAACGAGTGGGAAAAATGTTCATTTGAAGGGTTATGCTTACCATTCAGAAAAATTCTAACTTCCGATTCTGGTCTGACAGGTTATGCTTACCATTCTGACTCATTTGGAGTTGGGGGAGGTGCAATATCTGCGTCTCTTTCCACCACTCAACAAATGTTGCTCTTTAAATTTCCACAAGGTGAGGAATAAGCTGAAGCTGCTGAACTAATTCTGTGCTTAGTGACAAGTGAATTTCTATTCCTATGTAGTTTGAGGTATTTCCTGAAGACTTATGATGCTCATGTTTAATTTGGAGTTATTTGTGCAGTCTTCTCCAATCATGCTGGCAGAAAGAAGTAGCGTAATTTCTGCAATTCTGAAGAAGTAAAGCATCTGTTATCATGTGGCAGAGTATATTTCAGCTTTGAGGTAAAGAGGCTCATGACTTCGATGCTCTTTTCAGGTCTCAGGTGAAACAAGGGCTATATGTCTTCGATATACCAGCTGTGGCTTCTACCTTAGGGGTTACAACCAGTGATGTGTTAACTGAGCTTCAAAGTCTGAAGGTTGGTAACCCTTTCTGTCAGATTCTCAACTATGAAACTAGGCGATGGTTTTTGAAGGCGGATCTCTTAGGTGGTAGTAGAAACAAGTATACGGTAGCCAATGGATGAAGGCAGATACTTGCCAAATAGTGTAAGGCGGAAGGCACAGGCCACTAGTAGTAGTTAGACATATCTATGAAGTTGGGCTCTTGCAAGTTAAGGCACCAATTTCTATGCCATTTTAACATAGTGAGATAGCTAATGCAAAATATGGAAAAGATCAAAAAGGACAAAATGAGAGAATAAGATTTACAAGAAAACAAGGTAGACAGTGATAGCTCATGGGATAACAGCCCGCTGAATAAAATTGTTTGGTGATGAACTTTGACATGACAAATGAAGTTTGATTCAATAACATTTATAGTGATGGACTATGAATCTGTGTAGGGATTGTTCTTGTAGGCTTTACATAATTCTGCTGCGGGAGAAGGAAACAAGCTAAATCATTTTTTTTTTATTCTTTGATGAATTGCTTGCACTTTGTCGAGATCTCTTGCATATGGGTTCTGGTCAAATACAGCTAGAAGTTATTTCTTTCTATTCCTAAGTGATTATATTCAGTGCAGAATTTGAGAATGTTATTTCTTTATTTTTTGTGCTAATTTTGGATTTGCACTTCGCTACGTTTCTTAGATTTATACTGTCTACAACTTTTTTTTCTGTCTTTCATATCTTTGTAGTTGAAGGGAGAAATAACATATGAGATGAAGGAACCAGCCTTTTGTTACACGATCATAAAATTCCCTCAGGATATTTGTTCTCTCTCCACTCATCTGACCAAGTGGTTATCAGAGATTGAAACTTGTAAGGTGAGTTCTCTTTAACTTCATTGGCTGAAGATGACCCTCGTCTCCAAAGGTTCATCTCGATATAGGTTGCGTTGTTTATTTGACATATGAGATGCTCATTCTGTTGATGAAAAGCCAGTCTTCTAGATATTCTACCTAATGATATCTTCAAGTAGAAACGTTATTTTAGTCTCTTACAGAGTGCAACAGAGGGAAGAGAGGAAGATAATCTTATCCAATCTAAGTTCGCCATTAAATGTTGTCGTTCGTGTGAACTGATTTTACTCTTAAAAGAGCTAGAATTTGGCTCTATCTTAGCAATAACCTTGCAGAAGGTTCTGTCTGAAGCTTCACTGAACCTGGTTTCTAAAGTCAGTACTAGAAACGGTCATATATGCGATTTTGTATCCTAAATGCTTGTGTATTTCAAACTGTACTCTGATTTGCTTCTGAAATAGGTGCGGAAACTGGATATAATGTCTAGTACAGCTCTCGAAGCCATCAACGTCTCCGACTCTGACAGAACACAGCTTTGTTCTGGCCAAACTTTGACCTTGCAAAGAAGAATCTCAGATTACTTCGAAGGCGACGAGAACTGTCACCCATCCAGCAAGATAACACAGAACAGGTACTACAGAAAAATACTCAAATTTCCATCTGGGAGAAGAAGATTGGGTGATGAATTTAAAGCTAAGCATGGAAAAGGGGCTTGGAAAATAAACCTAATACAGGATTTTGTCAAAGTTGTTGTTCCAATGAACTAATAAGATGCTTTTGTTTGTGGTTGCAGCCCATTTTTACGAGCCGACATAAAGGTAAAGATCCAAGAAAAACTAGAATTGGCCCCTCTTATATACCTTAGTAACATGCTAAGAAAGTGAAACTCGCTGTTTTGTGGGGGGAGAAAACAGGTGTTTCTGCAGAGTAATACAAATGCCAAATTCACCCCGAGAGCGATCGCGAGAATAATGCATGGAATCGGGAGTCCAGCGTATCCGAGTACAATCTGGTCGAAAACTCATTTCTGGTATCTTCCTCTTCCAAAAAAAAAACCAAAACCAGTCCATGGAATTTTCTCATAGAAACAACAAGAAGGAATTGCTAAAAAAAAAAGAATTACAATGGTTGCAGGGGAAGGTATATGAACGTAGACTTCCGTGTGATAATGGAAGCAGCAAAAACAGAGCTCTTGAACTTTGTCGATAGGAATGCAGCTTTTGCTACTTGTTAAGTTTAGGAGCAGCTCTAATTTTTCAGGTACTTTTTTTTTAATATTTTGAATGTTCATATCAATAATACAACATAAGATAGATACAAACTACAGTGAGATATTATTAGAGATGGCTATTTCGGATTTCGGTTTGGGTTTGATTATTTCGTTTATAAAAAAACTATAACTATTCGGTTTTTATATAAATTTCAGTTCGATTCGGTTATTTTTTCGGTCCAAAGAAATTATCAGGTTTTTCAATTATTTTTTTATTCTGTTCGGTGTGATTCGGTTTCAATTTTTTGGGTTTAAAAAAATTATAACTGTTCGATTTTGATGTCATATTCGGTTTGGATACGGTTATGTCTTATTCGATTCAGCTTGGTTAATAACCGAAATGGCTATCCCTAGATAATATTATGACATTGAATTCATAAAACTTCTTAATCTTTTATAGACTCCTTTCAGCTAGATTTCCATGTTACTGTATTCTATATTTCATTTCATAGAAACTAAATGTAGAAACCCTTCACATACAAATTCATCCGTTTAAAGCCAACCTTTCAAAAATATCCAAACTTGCCTGAACCCTAATTCATTGTTCTCTAAAGCTGCATATATCAAATTGTCTGCCAGACGAAAATGGCAAGACATGCCTTTTTTTTCCCAAAGACAAGTTCTTGGAATGCTGTCATGTCTATGCATTGAAGCTGTTAGCTCTCAACTATTTCTTCCCTTTACGAGCAAGGAATCGTTCCTTGGCTGCTTGTATCTTACTGTCGATATTCTCAGGGATGACTATTGTTTTTGGGTCGTTCTCGGGCAATCCTGTCAACTTCTCCTCAGATTTATCAGCCGAGCAAACTGATCCACCACTGCATTATAGAGTAGAAAGGATACAATCAACATTCCAAAGCCGAGTCGCAGTACAAGTAATGGATGCCTCCAAGGAAAAAAATGTTAAATATATTTTATACCTCAGTTTTCTGATATTTAATTTCTCGAGCTTCCTCTTAATTGGATTCACCCACGGCATTTCTATTTTGCAAATATTTCGCATGAAGGCTTTTGTTGTAGAGATGAGTTCGTGATACACAACGTAATCCGGAAACATTCCCTCTTCATCTGTACTTAGCACAGACGATGGATGTACCTATTATCAAACAAAAATCGAAATGTCAAAGATGATTTGGATGAAATAAATTAGAAATTTGCCTAACAAGATAAACTGTTTTACCCAATGTACCAATAAAAATCCCAAATAGTCCAAAACAATGAAACAAAATCTAGACACAAAAGCTTATGTGAGTATAGCTCAACTTTAATGCTAGTGACCTAATTCAAGTAAAGAGTTTTCATTCCTTGTGTTTTAGCGGTGACGGTAGCAAAATCTATTGCCAACATATAAATCTTCGAGCTAATGGCCTAATTGGAATAGCAAGAGATGTTGTAACAATGTTGTTGCAGAAGACACATGACTTCGGAAGGATCATATACGAGACAATAATTTAAAAAGTTGATAGCAACGATTTAAAGTTGTTGCAAATCTCGGAAGATTTAACTCAAAATCGAAATGAGTGAAAACGAAGAATTCATGCGGCTGACCCAAATAAACTTGAGATCAAGACGATATTGATGTATACCTGGACTAGTTGCGGCTTAAAGCTAAGAGTCCGGTAGCCATTGTGGTGAAACATTCTCTCGGCAACCTGGTTTGCGTAACCAACAGTTAGAGCCTTCCTCAAGTTCCTGTACTCTTGTTGGCTAGAACCTTTCCTTCCACGAGCTCGCACGTCCAATGAACCTGAAACAAACACAACAATTTCGACACGTTTTTTTCATTTTCATCAAAAGAGGTAGACAAAAGACGAAATATTTCGTCACATGGAATATTATGCAGAGGAAACAATAGTTACCCTTTGACATTTTCTGCATAATCTGACACAACTGTTTCCTAACATCTTTCACAAACATCATTCCACGTACCTGTGAGCAAATTTATCGCAAGCATAAAAAAGAGTTTGCCTTTAGCATAAGGCATATATATGTATATATTAGAGTAGCATCAAAGTGAATGCAGGTTTAATCAACTCCCTAACCATCACAGATATATTGTATGCAAAAGGTAAGGACAAATATAATTTTCTACGAGTTTAACCACGCCAATGAAGGGGCTTTCGATGACATATGGATTGGATAAACTGCTGGAAGCATAATTGCTGTATAAAATCAAAATGATTGAAGGGATCTTGACCAACTTCAGAAATATATATCAATAGATAATTATACTTAAAAAGACCAATTCGACCTACTTTCCACATGGGATTGTCATAAAAGAAATAAAGGAAAATAGAATAGACACCTGCAAGCCATTCTCTTTGCACCACTCAACATCATAGTGGTTATGATCCCAACATTCAAAAATCTGTAGCAATTGGATGTGATCACCGAATCCAGATCCATTTGGAAGATTGGAAACATCGTGCTTCCTCTTCTTTTCAGCAGGCTTGCTGTAAAATAAATAAATATATAACTTTAATGGCAGAAACCAATGAATATGTACTATTATGATGTGCTTCTAAAGACAAAATTCATTGGATACATAAAGGGTTTCGCACATACTACTCATCCAGTAAGATAAACTAAAGAAAGACGAAATTGTGCCAAACAAATAAAGAGATCTTTGAGTCTTGACTTGATTCTTATAAGATTCCCTCGTTGACACCGACAATCTTAAGAGTATGTGCTAGTAAAAGTGAATTGAACCTCCAATCTGGTAAAAGTATTAAAAGCGAAAAAAAAAATGAAACCATAATAGGTTCCTACAGGAACTAACCTCCGACCAGGAAGTAGGGTAGTCTCTGCTGACAACATGGAAACTACTGTCAATGCTTGGGATAAAGAGCCATTTTCATTTGCCTCTATCAACGTTCTTGACAAGGATGGTTCCAATGGAAGCTCTGCAATGAAAACAAACGCTTCCATTAGTGAGACAATAGTAATACAATTCATTTAATAGTGAGTTAATAGAAAGATAAATCTTACCCGCCATTGTTCTTCCAATACTTGTTATTATTCCATTCTCATCAATTGCATCAATGAGATACAATTGTTTCAAAGCATCTTCCAATGACTCGACTACAATATAAAGTAGGATCTAGTCAATAAACACACTCTAGGCAAAAAGTTTACAAAGATACCTCAAATTAAACACAAAAATAAATTGCAAGAGATGTATCGTCTTTCTATTTATTATTTCTATCTAGGAAATTATCAACAACCCCATGATGGATATAACACAGATGAATACAATTTGACACCGAAATGATTGTAGACTAGAGGCAATCATATCCAAAGAGAAATGGTTCTTACCAGAAGGAGGATCAAGAAAATCAAATTTCAATATATCCATATCGATAAGATCCAACGATTTTAAGTAGAGAACACTCCCAGCAAGAGAAGTTCGTTGTATTTCAGGGATGGTTGCGTCAAGGAAATCATCGCGATACACTGCGGTGGGGTATAGTCGATAGCATTTTCCAGGCCTTGTTCGGCCAGCTCGTCCTACTCGTTGATTAGCTTGAACTCTAGAACATGATGGTAGGAGAACAAACAAAATGTATTAGCATGTATGTGTGGGCGAGAAAGAAAATGTTTTCTTCTAATATTCAATAACTATATTTATCATTTTTCAAGAAGTTGCAAGTAAACTTGTTAGGAAAAGTAAAGTCATTTCGCAACACCATACAAGTTAGATTTAAATGTACCAGTACATACAAGTTTCATATTTAGCTCAAGAGATAATGTAATGAACCAAGAGATATACAAATAGACATATTTGCTTACTTGCTAATCTGAACAACATCAAGGGAATACATTCCAGTTGATGGGTTGTATTGCCTTTGCTTCACATATCCTGAATCAATTACATACCTGTGGGAGGAAAAATAAGCAAATGTGAGAATTCACTTGATCTCGAGTATAACACAAAATATGATATCGCAATTAGATTGCCTATAATGCGCAAGGTGCACTAGGCGATGACTCATGGTGCAGGTGATGGAAGAACTGGAAAAAGTGAAATAGGACATACATGATATTATTTCACATTAAGTGTTCTGAAATTCTGTCCCAATGAACTCAAATTCCAAGCAACATATGCATGTTATACCAGAATGATAATAGATACTTAATATATAAAACTGTGAAGAACATGAAATAATTAACATGCACAGTACAGGAACATCAGTTGACAAAGCTAAACACAACTATAGTCTGCATGATGATACTATCATTGTGATATTCAACCAAAAATAGGAACGGGTAACCAAAACATATTAATAGAAGTTTTAGGTTTCTTACACAACTCCATCCACAGTAAGGGAGGTTTCAGCAATATTTGTAGCGACTATAAATCTCCGACAGTTTGGAGGAGGTGGGCTAAACACACGAACCTGCATTTACATGGTAAAAATGGTGAAACTTTAAGAGTATAAACATAATCTTTCGGACAAACTCAAATGTTTGTATATTAAAAATATATCTCAATAGTAAATGAACATTTAGTTACACCATAAAAAGTTTAAAATGCGTACCTGCATATCAGGTGGTAAAGATCCATGAAGAGGATAAACAACAGCATCCATACAAGATCCTTCCTCCAAACTCCGTACTTTTTCCTCCAACTTTGACACTAATTTCTCAATGTCATCCTGTTAAGATCACAATGGAATTACATCTGCAGTTGAGTACTTATTTCACGGTGGGATACCCACTAACCGGAAGCAAGAGGCCAAATGGTTCTCTAAGGATTCAAATTAAGGAAGAAAGGAACAGTGAAACGAATAAAACAAACCTGTCCAGTCATGAATATCAAAATATCGCCTTCTGGCTCACGGACATGGATGTCTGCAAGTAAAGAAATGTTTTTTAATGTAGGAAAACTATTAAATTATGAAAAAAAAAATATATTGATCTGATTGAAAAAAAAAATCAATTCTGAACATACCGATTGCTGTTTTCAGGGATGACTCAATGTAGCTTACAGGACGTTCTTTGCTGTACAATATTTCCACAGGATATAGTTTTCCGGGTACATTCAGCACAGGGCAGTCATAAAAGAATTTGGACACCTTCTCTCCGTCAAGAGTTGCCGATGTGATAAGAACCTTAAAATTGGATTCACGAAGCTTAATCAAGCGCTTCATTAGGCCCAGCAAAATATCCCTGATAACAAATGCATACATTAGATATGAAGCACATGTCCATAAGAATTAGAAACCGAGGTCTTTACGAATACTAAACAAGTTTAGTAATGAACACAACTTTTTATATAAACAGTAAACACATGTAAAAGCTGCAGACAATGACATGTATAAATCCTTACGTGTTTAAACTTCTTTCGTGAGCTTCATCCAATATGATTACGGAATAATGACTAAGTTTCGTATTCGAAAGACTTTCACGAAGGAGAACTCCATCAGTAAGATACCTAGGCGAAGGAGAAAACGACGATGAGGAAACTAATAGCTTCTCAAATCATGAAATACGGATAAGGAAAATACTTATATACATGTTGTCCCCTTTCCAATTACTTGATTTTTGTTTTCTCGGAAGTTCTATCCTCGAAACGTATGGCATAACCAACCTCTTCTCCTAGACGAACTCCGAGTTCCTGAGAAACCCGCCTGAGAACATAGCCAACAGAACGCAGAATTAAGAAATTCACAAGCTCATGAAGAAATTATTCAACTTCTTCCATAAATCAGCAGCAAGTCATAGAACATGAACTAACAGGACAGGACAAGACAGTGTTACAGGAAACCAACTTCAGAACGAGAATCAAAATTTTCGACTTCTTACAGGAATCAGCAACAAATTGTTGAAGAAATTATTCAACTTCTTCCATAAATCAGCAACAAATTGTTGAAGAAACTATTCAACTTCTTCCATAAATCAGCAACAAATCATAGAACACGAACTACTAACAAGACAAGACAGTGCTACAAAGAAACCAAGTTTAGAACGAGAATAAAAAATTTCCAGTTTTAACAGGAATATCGGCTGCAAATTCGTCGAATTGAAGAAAGAGTAGCAAGAACCAGAAAAGCTGTAAACGAAATACAAAAAAAAAATACCTGGCGACGGAAACGGCGGCGACCCGTCGGGGCTGAGTGACGGCGATGGCGGCGGAATTGGCGTAACCTCGCCGGAGAAGAATCTGAGAAAGCTGGGTACTTTTCCCGGAGCCAGTCTCTCCGATTATGACTACTACTGCATTTTTCTCAACTGTTTCTATGATTTTATCTTCATACTGAAGAATAGGAAGATTCGACATTGATGAAAACACTTCGAAGACAATTCTGGAGAAAGAATCAAAATCGCCCTTTGAGAAAAGACGAACCCTAATCTCGGAAACTTTTCAAATTTGTACCTTTATATGGTTGGGACTTGATTACAGAATCTGACTGAGCTCCATCCCTTTTGGGTTGAAAAAAACTCTAAATTCGTTATCAAAAAAAAATTCTAAACACTAAACAACATCTATTTTATACATATATATATATATATTCAGCGTAAAAAAAACCACAATAATTACAATTACATAACAACATTTAAACTATAATAAATATATAAAAAATTATCACACTACAAATATTCATAAAAATACAAGTTATTATAATAGGTATTATAAGAAATATAATTGTTTTCTTTTTCATTTTATTTTTATTTTTCGCGAACTAGACCGAGTCGTGACTCGTGAAAAACGGGCTGCTGGACCGAGCCGAACAATGACTCACACTCATTTGGGCCGATCTGGCCTGTTTATATCTTTTTTAAATGTGTCGGACCAAACTCATCGCCAGCCCTTTATTGCTTATGGTTAACATTTCCGGTTTGGATTCGGTTCGAGAATTTTTCGGTTCTGATTATTTTATTTTTATAAAAATATGTATCAACCAATTTAATTTTGGTTCAGTTTGATTTTGGTTTTAATTCGATTCAAATTCTATTAATTCTATTAAAAAAATATAATTTTTTATAAATTTTCAATTCTACAGATTTTTTAAAAATTTGGTTAGATTCCGATTTTTTTCTATAAAATTCAATTTTTTTTAAAAAAATTACCTTTCAAGTTTGGATAATTCCGTTCAGAAACCGGTACAGTTCGAATACAGAAGATAGTTACTTGAAAACTCGATTAAAATCCTACTAAATATTTTCGAATATATCGTATTATTATTATTATAATATTTGTAGTTATAATTTGATGGATATAATTTTAAATCACTATATATTAGATGTATCCTATAAAGTATTTTTTCAGTCTATCGAAATATACATATTTTTAGTTATTATCAAAGTAATTGTTCTTTCTTCGGCCGCATTATCTCGCCGTCGCCGACAAGCTCCCTCTGGTTCGCTTCGTCTCTCTCAGGTAAGCCTCGCAGTGCCCAATTCTCGTCCTCTCACCTTTCCGCTCGTAATCGCGAGCTCGAATTTGGATGTTCTATCAATTGAATTGATGTTCGGTCTTTTGTAAACTATTTCATATTAGGATTAGGGTTCTCAGAAAGTTGTTAGATCCGTTGCTTTCTGTGAATTAGGGTTTATGTTATGGATTCGATCGCGTTTGACTTTTAACTAAGGAGGAGGTGAATCTTCTTATGTAGGTTGATTCGTACAGAACAACACCATGGATAGGTTAGAACCCGACAAGGAGACTCGCGGGGGATTATATGTTCCGGTGAAGGATAAGGTCATTTTTACAGCCCCCGAGCGAAAATCTCGGCTAGGTATGAATTTGGATTTCTTTGTTATGTTTTTCTGGTTGAAATTCTTGCTGCTAGGTTACAGCAAATTGATGGGAGGAATGCGCTAGGGTTTTGTTGCGTAATTTGTTAGTCTCGTCGTTCTTATAGGATTGGATGTACTGGCCAATGAGAAAAGGGGGAGTGTCAAGTCCGAGGGAGGGTTTAAGGTGCCGAAGGAAAGGGTAATATCTGTTGCGTCTTCTTTGGATGAAGAAGAGAAATTTGAAATAGCCGGATCAATTGATGGAGCAAAACCAACTTCTGGGGACCATTCCAGCAGGCGTTATCGAGAGAAGCCTTCAACCTCTGAAATTGCAGCAGGTAGGTTCTTCCTCAATTAATTTTTTTTAATGGTTGTGGAATGGAAGCTCTTGGTTGTGAGATCTTTTCAAATTAAATGTGTATAAAGTTCCTTGCGTTTTCTAAAGATCAACTTCTTATGTCTAATGACATCGAACTTCTTGCATTGCAGAAAGTCCAATGAATGCAGAGGCAGCGGCTTTAGATGTAAGTTTGTTTCTTCCAAATAACGGGGTCGTTGTTTTGCTTTCTTTTTATCTTTTCTGCTGTACCTGATTACTTAGCTTTCGCTAACTAGCATTTCAACTTGGTTTTGGATATTCTGAATTTTTTTCCCTTTTAAAATGAAGATCTCAACTTCCCATCCCAAGAGTGAGTTGACTACTTCATCTAGCACTCCCAGATATGAGAGAGATGGTAGTGTTAGACATCGAAAGGAGCATAGGGATGATAATAGAAGTGAAATCCCACGGCCAAGGCGGAGAAACACTCAGGATGAGATGGACCGTTACCGTGGGAGGGATTCCTATCGTCGATACGATCAAGACTATTATGGAGATAAGCGTAGAAGACATAGTAGTTCAAGGAGAACACCTGGTATGCCAAAGTTGCACTTTTAGAATGTCATTTGAATTCTTCTGTCTATAGTTTAAGCATGCCTATGTGTTTTCGACTACATAATAAGTGTCAAAAGACACAGTGCTTGTAGATCTTTCTATGGATATTTACACAGAATCTTGCAGGTAGGTCAGATTGGGATGATGGGAAATGGGAATGGGAAGATAGTCCATATAGAGAGAGTGAATCTAGTTACAACAAGCGTCATCAACCTTCTCCATCACCCATGTTGGCTGCCGCTTCACCAGATGCTCGTTTAGCCTCACCGTGGTTGGCTACACCCCGATCGACTGGTATGTTGTAAAAACAATTTTACATCCTTCCTTCTGGATTTTTATGTCCGCAGTAAGTTTCCTTAAGTTGACTTTATGGGACGTGTGCTAAGACTGATGTTATGATCTATTGCCATGTCCTAATTTATTGTACAGTTGCGTCTGTTTCTCCATGGGACATTGGTGCACCTTCTCCTATTCCAATTCGAGCTTCTGGGCCCTCCGTTAGATACTCAAGTTCTAGATATGGTGGAAGATCGCAACAAGCTGCTTTCTCTAGGGAGGGCGGACTGCCAGTTGAGGTATGCGTTTTTACTTGATCATTGTGCATTTGGGTAAGATGACTTGTTTGTTATCCTACTACAAAGTAAATCTGAAAATTTTTTAATGTCTGCCTATCGTTTTGAGAAGTTACTGATGGCTGGTCAGAACATGTTGATGAGTATTATGCTTTTTCATGAAGAATATTGCTTGGTTTTGCATGAAATTTCTCTTACAGATTTATATATTTTCTTACAGCATTCGGACGAGGATAGATCACACACAACTGAATATCATAATCCTGAGATCACAGAGGCAATGCGTTTGGAGATGGAGTATAATTCAGATCGTGCATGGCAAGTATTTAATTTGCTCTTAGGATGGGACAATTTTCATTCAAGGAATGGAGCTATGTTAATTGTAGTACAATTCAGGATCTTGTAAAACTTCATCTTACCTTAATGGAATGTGTTTCACAGGTATGATAGAGAAGAAGGGAATACGATGTTTGATGGAGATAGTTCATCTGTTTTCCTTGGTGACGAAGCTTCTTTCCAGAAGAAGGAAGCTGAGCTGGCAAAGAGACTGGTATGTCTCTATGACATTGATAAGTCACTCTATCATTTATTGTTATTCATTTGACATCTATATCACCTCATCTAAGAAAAGTTTCTAAATATTTATTGGGATTTGAATGTTTTGCTCTCTTATTGTGTTGTACACATTCTTGAAACAATGAAATTGTGACCTTATTCTTTTCCCCCATTCACTGCTTGATAAATCATGCTATGAAAACAATGTGTCAGTGTTCTAACCTCTGTTCTAAGTCTGGTAGCAGTAGCGCTTCTTTTGTTGCAAAATTTTGTATGCTGAACAGTATGACGAGGCTCCTTTTTCTGTGCATCAAACTTCCTTTCTTTTGATGTTTTGTGTTTTGCCTTAGGAATTCAATGTATGTTACTTACAGATGTAATTATTTTGTGATAATCATAATGCAGATTAGAAAGGATGGTAGCAGAATGTCCCTTGCCCAAAGTAAAAAATTTTCTCAACGTAATGCTGACAATGCTCAATGGGAGGACCGACAGCTTCTCAGATCTGGAGCTGTTAGAGGCACAGAGGTGCAGACTGAGTTTGATAATGAAGATGAACGGAAAGTTCTTCTTCTAGTTCATGGTTAGTAAACTCCTATGACATCAGTTCAACAGACCAAAATAGTGCTTCCAGAACTAGTTTTTATGCATGAGCTCATGCTCTATTCTTTGGTTTATTGCAGATACAAAGCCTCCGTTCCTTGATGGAAGAGTCGTTTTCACTAAACAAGCAGAACCAGTAATGCCTATAAAAGATCCTACATCTGACATGGCTATAATTTCGAGAAAAGGATCTGTTCTTGTTAGAGAAATTCGCGAGAAACAAACAATGCATAAATCACGACAGCGCTTCTGGGAGCTTGCTGGTTCTAAACTTGGTGATATTCTTGGTGTTGAGAAAACGGCTGAACAGGTATTATTCAGTTCAGATATCTTTTTTGCCTCTCGGTTTTTGGTTTTGTCTGCCTTATTAGTGTTGTGGTTGTTGGGCATAATGAGGGCGTGTGATCATTTTGCAGATTGATGCTGATACTTCTGTCATTGGCGAAGATGGTGAAGTTGACTTTAAAGACGAGGCCAAATTTGCCAAACATATGAAGAAGGGAGAAGCTGTGAGCGACTTTGCTAAGTCGAAGACCATGGCAGAGCAACGACAATACCTTCCCATATTTTCTGTTAGAGATGAACTATTGCAGGTAATATTTAGGTCTTTTTACATTGGGTTAACGTCCATCAAGCATGGGGTCCTACCTTTTGAATTTATTACCGTATCGTCGATTGAGAAACTGAGTAAGTGGCTTATTCATCTGCTGTTTGATGCATTTGCCAGGTAGTAAGAGAAAACCAGGTGATAGTGGTGGTTGGTGAAACTGGTTCAGGAAAAACTACTCAGCTTACACAGGTTGGTAACAGTCCCTTGATGTAGCTATTTTGGTTCCATATTTTCTGTTATAAATAGTTCTATAGAACAACTAGTAAACTTATATATCTTTTTATTTTTGCTAGTATCTCCATGAGGATGGATACACAGTTAATGGTGTAGTAGGTTGCACCCAGCCAAGGCGTGTGGCAGCCATGAGTGTTGCAAAAAGAGTTAGCGAAGAGATGGAAACAGATTTGGGTGATAAGGTGGGATATGCAATTCGTTTCGAAGATGAAACTGGTCCAAACACAATTATTAAATATATGACTGATGGAGTACTACTGCGAGAGACTCTCAAAGATCCTGATTTGGACAAGTATCGCATCATAGTAATGGATGAAGCCCACGAGCGATCGCTCAACACTGATGTTCTTTTTGGAATTCTGAAGAAAGTTGTTGCTCGTCGTCGTGATTTCAAGCTCATAGTGACGTCGGCTACCCTTAATGCACAGAAGTTTTCCAACTTCTTCGGGAGTGTTCCTATATTCCACATTCCTGGGAGGACATTTCCTGTCAACATCCTGTATTCTAAAAGTCCTTGTGAGGATTATGTTGAAGCTGCAGTCAAACAAACCATGACAATTCACATTACAAGTCCACCTGGTGACATTCTCATATTTATGACCGGGCAAGATGAGATTGAAGCAGCGTGCTTTTCTCTTGCTGAGAGAATGGAACAACTTATCTCATCCTCTAGCAGAGAAGTTCCGAAACTATTGATTCTGCCGATTTACTCTCAGCTGCCCGCTGATTTGCAAGCAAAAATATTCGAGAAAGCGGAAGACGGGGCTCGTAAATGCATCGTTGCAACAAATATTGCTGAAACTTCATTGACAGTTGATGGAATATATTATGTTATTGACACAGGATATGGAAAGATGAAGGTCTTCAATCCTAGAATGGGTATGGATGCTTTACAGGTTTTCCCGATCAGTCGTGCTGCAGCTGATCAGCGTGCAGGAAGAGCTGGTAGAACAGGGCCTGGTACATGTTACAGGCTATATACTGAGAGTGCCTACTTGAATGAGATGTTGCCTAGTCCGGTGCCCGAGATCCAGCGGACAAATCTGGGAAACGTTGTATTGCTGTTGAAATCCCTAAAAGTGGACAACTTGCTAGATTTTGATTTTATGGACCCACCTCCTCAAGAGAACATTCTTAATTCAATGTATCAGCTGTGGGTGTTGGGTGCTCTGAACAATGTTGGAGGATTAACAGATCTTGGATGGAAGATGGTAGAGTTTCCGTTGGACCCACCGCTTGCGAAGATGCTGTTAATGGGTGACCAGCTGGGCTGCATAGATGAAGTTTTGACGATTGTGTCTATGCTCTCAGTGCCTTCTGTGTTCTTCAGGCCTAAAGACAGAGCACAGGAGAGTGATGAGGCTAGGGAAAAGTTTGCCGTGCCGGAGTCTGATCATCTGACACTTTTGAACGTCTACAAGCAGTGGAAAGAGCATGATTATCGAGGAGATTGGTGTAATGACCATTTCTTGCAGGTCAAAGGGCTGAAAAAGGCGAGAGAAGTGAGAGCCCAGCTTCTGGATATCCTCAAGCAATTGAAAATCCCGCTGAAGTCGTGCGGTGGAGACGAGGATATTATAAGAAAAGCCATATGCTCAGCGTATTTCCACAATGCTGCGAAAGCAAAGGGAGTGGGTGAGTATGTCAACTGTAGAACAGGAATGC